GTGCAAACACGTTGGGCAGGGGTGAGGGGGTGGGTGGGTGGTGACACGACCAAAATGTGCCGCACTACGTTTCTCTAGAGCACACGCCATCACGTCTACTACATTCAGATGTAGTTCCCAGACAACACACGAAACCACTTACCAGGCTGTCCGCATGCAGGATGTCGAACGGTACCTGAAGCTGCCGATCGAAAGTCAGCTTCTTCAGGGGGTTGGACATCTTGGGGACCACGACGCCACGTTGTTTCGCGCGCTCGACGCGCTCGGTCTTGGTGGCCCCTTGCTTGACGTACTCGATATCGGCATCGATGCCTTCGGCCGTCCGCCGATTTTGCCGGATGTCGTAGCGCGGGTTGCCGAGATGTCTACGTGGTACTTTGCAGCGTTGGCACGACCGGAGTGTACAACCGTTGGCATTCTTCGTGTTCGTCCTGTCGCTGTGCTCCGGGCTGTCGAGGATCAGCCCTTGTAGCCCTCCCCTCACAAGCACCTGAGTTCGACAGATCATGATGATGGGGCATATCAAGGACTGGTACAGACGTGCAAGCTGGACGTGGATGAATATTACAAAATCCTACCGTTCACTGGTTCTGTTCCAGACGCAGATGCGACGAGGTGTTTCCTACCGTCCGGCGCCTGGTATTTGAAGCCTACTTTCACCTTCGCATCGGGTGTCATTTCTTGAGCTGGCGTCCGCCACCGGTAAGAACTCTCGTTGTATGTATCGACACCACATGACGACCAATCAACATCTACCTGCGTTTTCCGACAACATTCGACATCAACACGTTATAGGACGATGCCCGAACATTGTTTCGACGGCCGGCGTGCCAACCCCAAGTAACTACGCGCATCTGACTATATTCCTCACCGTGTGGGATTCCTGATCACTGGTCCTCATGCGCGCGCGGCAGCCGTTCTCGAGCATATGAAGAATAGACGTCAGGGGGCCCATTTCATCTTCCCATCGCGCTTTCACTCCAACAGTGACCATCCACCACGATCGCAGACGTCGGAGAAGAGCGGAAGAGGTGCATCCCGGGGCAAGATATGTACCGCGCACACTGTACTGCCTATTGCCAGACAGGTAGTTGAAAGCATCGCTGGAACAAAGGAAGCCCATCGATACAACGGGAAGACCACCCTCGTTTGTGAATGCCCTTGACGATCGCCTATCAATGAACCAACCGTGCACCCCCGACCTTCTCGAAACGTTCTTGACCACCTGCAAGCGCCTGGTGCGGGGGGTTGTAGCTGCAAAACCTTCTCCGACGAAGGTCGGCATGCTGGCCGTACCATCGGCGGGCGTAGGTATGTTGGTACCCACCGGCAACACCATACACGGACCTACCAGTGCACTCACTCCGACGTTCTCCTCCTTGTTCGTGACCTCCCAAACAGACTCCACATCTTGGTCTCGTCGGCGCTTGCTCTTGATACCGTCGGGCATGTCGCTCCTGAACACGAATGGATTGACACGCACAACAAGATGGCCAGTGCTTTGGACCCCACCTCCCGGCCGCCCCTGTTGGGTTTCGTCCTCTCCTTCCTCTTCCGCTTCTTCTTCCTCTTCCTCTTCCTCTTCCTCTTCCTCCTCCTCTTCCTCCTCCTCTTCCTCTTCCTCTTCCTATTCCTCTTCTTCCGACGATTGCCACAATGCGCCTGGAGAGCTTGACAAGGGCGAGGACCCCGCATCCTCGTCCTCTTCGCCAATCGTATCCAAAGCCTGAAACCACCGGCGAACGCCCCCCCCATTCCCCCCTGAAAGCTCGAGGGCGCGTCGCCTCTGCTTCCTCGTATTCTGCCAGAAGATCGCAGCAATCCGACAGGGGTGTGGGCTATTCCCGAACGCTGGTACATTTACCATTGCCGTGTCTCCCACCATGAGCCGAACCCCATCCGTTGTGGCCACACACTCCAGGCCCATATGTGCAGAGGCCATCATGATGTCTCCGCTCATGAACCCGCCCCTCGCTCCATCGGGTTCCCGAGTGGCAATCGGAGTGAAGTGGAAATCAGGTACCTGACTACGACGTTGCTCCTCCTTAGACAATTGCTTCCCACCCGCATTCTTCAGAAGCTCTTCCACTACCCGAGGGCATTCGAGCATACGCTGGTAAATGAGGTTGAAAGGGCATTCAATTACCTCCGCAGTCTTGTCGTCCTTGCCTTTTACCGCTCGCCGTACCACAGGAAGGAGCGGCAAGCGCCGCCGCATCCTACCGACGAGGTGCTCGGACGACTCGGGAACGTCTCTCGGGTCGAACCTGCCGCCTTCGCTGTCCTCCACACGGAGAAGATCGAGTAGCGTCTGCAGCGACTTGCGCGACGGCCTGCAGACTATGGCCCATACCGATACGAGCATCTCGGTGAGGTTCGCCCACGGAAAAAAGCGGCTGCCTAGCGCCAAACCAGCAAAATTCAGATCTTCGCCGTCGACTACGTCTGCGTTCATGTATTCCTCGACAAGTTTGTGCAAATGTCCCAGCCAGGGTGGTACGTTCGCCGACCCGTCGCTCGCCGGATCACCGGCTCCACTGCCGGCTTCATCCGTGGAGTCGTCACCTCCGGCATTGCCCTCAAACCCGTCGTCGCACGTACCGCTGCCGCCTGGCGTCGCGAGTATAAAATGGCGAGTGGAGCGAGTTGTGTTAGCAACAGACAATCACTAGTCACCTTGGCCAGGATGTGCCACGGAAAAGGGAAAGAGGACCAACCACGAGATCGACAGAGCTCACCAGCAGTATGCGATCGATACAGCAACGGAATATTCTTCGAAATCTGTGGGTGATGTTGTTCATCGCGCTCTCTCGTCCCCCCAGGCCAATAGTGTTGCATACATTCAGCGGTACCGGCATTTCGTGTAGGATGTTGACGGGGGAGGTGGAGAGCACACATCCGCCGTTGTGAACCGCATCGCGGGATTACTATTACAATTCAAGGGGGTAGGACGGGGAGACTCCCCCCCCCCCCCCAACCTCGAATTGAGAGTGCTCATGCACACCTATGTATGCATGTGAAATGGCATATAAAAGTGAGGTACATGGCAGTTGTAGCGCACTTCGAACGCAATACTCAACTATTACAAGCGACGCGACGAACAGCTAAATGCCTCCCCCTCCATGCATCGTGCGAGATTATATCGTACCACATCACCATCGACCTCAAGCCTATCGCCTCGGCTTATTTGTTCTCCGTAGAAGTACGTATGACTTTCGAGACATTGAGTGAACCGTTCGAATAAAAGAGCAATGGTGAACAAGAGAGTGAAGGCGGCGTCATTGCTGCGAAGCAAGACGGTGTACCCCGGCAGTGGTCGGGTACTAAATTATACAATGCAACGAACCGAGAGCGTTTGTTCGTCACATCGCCAGATCTATCCCAGCGCCAGTGATCAAGCCTTGTCGTGTTCGTATGCATACGCGAGGGAGGATAGTGCCGACTCCTGCTTTACCTGCCCCCTCGACGGGTGTTTGTTGCCCACAAAAGATTGCAGCCCAAAAGAGATATTCGAGCAACCTGTTGCCAGAGATTTGAGAGGTTCACCACCACACTACCCAAGGACGACCGAGTGAGTCGTGCGCACGTGAGGTAGTACATAAGCCCCCAGCTGTATCTGATTGTAGAGTGCTCACCATCAGTGCTGTCGCTCCTAACTCTGTCCCCTCCAACACTGTCGTCGCTGACGTGCGATGCGGCGGAACTAGGTGTAGTGGCGGCGCCTGACGGCGCTGAGGGCGCTCCACATATGGCGACGTGCGCCCCACCGTTCTTCAACGAGCTGAACGACGCGCCACAGGCACTACACTCATAACCGCGGCCAGGAAATTTCTTGAGGCTCACCCTCCGCGGCCTCGTTTGTGCCATGGGCTGCTGTGGTTCAATGAGAGCCGACGGAGGGTGGGGCGTTGGGCGTCGTGTGTGGGGGGCGCATAGCTTGGCATTTAAGTACTGACATAATGTGGAAATTTGTTGATCCTAACAGCGTGTCCCCCTAAACGGCACCACACTCTTGCCAGCCTGTTCACCACGCATGGACGTGTGCGCACATGGACAGGAGGGGGCGCATGGATACAAAGGATAGCGCATGGTGCGGAGCATGCGTCAGCCGATGGCGAATGGTTACGAGGACCGAGGCCGGTTCTTCAGCAGCCGCATAGCCTAGAACCGAGACAACCATGTGAGCGAATCACGATTTTATTTGTGGCCTCCCGCGCTCCTGCACGCTGCTGTCACAGGTCTCAGCCCCCATCTACAGCAGTACGCCTCCAATCAGCGTGTACTGCTGCTTGTTTCTGCACACATGAACAACCGACTTGTGCACCGTGTTCGATGTTGGGTTAGGGTTCGACGTTTGTTGGAGCGTGAGTGTCCCTAAGCATACCAGCTCCAGTCATGCACGCAACGCGGGGTGAGGGAAAAGGTAATATCGCCGTTGGTCATTTTTTTGCAGTCACGAATAGGCACGCACATGCACTTCGCCATCGTACTGCTGCAGCGTGTATCATTCTTTCCTAACCCCAAAGGTAGCGGTGGGCAGCGCTGGGTGTCTTATGATCGGCTGCTGACCATTCCGCGCAGGAGGTTAACGGCTACACAGCCTTCACGGTGGTAGACTTTGGTGTAGATAGAGGGTCTAAACCGAAGGAGTCCCCATTAGTGTACGTTTCCCACCCTCGTAAAACACGAAGAGTATGTACGAACCAATGCCTAGTAGTCGTCCACGGAAAACAACATTTGACGAGTACGAACGCTGGACGCAGACATGCAGACCCGGCTGGTGCTAAGGAAATTGGATTACAATAGACCATTCCCCAAACGCTAAGGGTCCCGAATGATGCAAACACCCACTGACGTATGATACGAGTACGACAGCAGGCCTGGACAATGCAACCTCCCAATGGGTTGCGATTCGAAAGGATACAAGTAAAAATTGTAACGGGTTTTGGGGTCCAAAACATGAATCGCTTTCTCGGACGCTCTGAATTCACTGGTCGTCTATCTTAGACTCTGTCTTAGTTAGAGATGGATTCGTATGGTCACATCATACATGTTAAGAAATTATATTAATAAAACATGTGTTGTGTTGCCGAGACCGTGAATGATGTGTGTGTGTCTGCGGTGCCCCTTTTCAAATGCGTCCGCCAAACTCCGTT